CTCTTTAAAACTTGACTGATTTTTGTCGTCAGCTCGTTCAAACGACAGCGGCCCGTAAACCAAGCGTTGACCCGGTAGTTGCGATAAGAACTAAGTGCAGGCCTCAAACCCTTTTGAATGTTGGTTGGGGTAAGTAGGCTAAGTGTGAACAGATAAGAAGATGTTGATCATTGTTACCAGTGGCCATCACCGACTTGTAATGACCGATTCTACTTGCGGTTTTTAGTATCGACGTCCATCTCAGCTACGGTCCACGCTTTTGCAGTCCGAGAGACGTCGCGACTGAAAATAGCGAGCAGAATCTCATCGTGGGAGTCAGGCTTTAGCGCCCATTCTGCGGCGTCCACGTGAAACGGATCGCCGCACGTCACATTATTCACGCTAAGTTTTGCCTCGCTAGTTTTGCTGAAGTCGCTCAAGTAGTCAGACATTGTTAGGAGGACGTAGAATCAACAATTCAATCGCGAAAAAGAGCACAGGGACTCCCACCGACGCCGACAACAACGCGATTCAATGGTTTGTTTATGGGCGACGGCGGGCTTCTTGCCCACCATCCACCGCGCATGCGCGGCGCCGGTGGCGTCCGCTAGGGGCGCTCCGGTTTGTTTGTAAACATGAGTTGGTGTATAAAGATCCAGTACAATTCCACGCGCACTTGATGTCATCGAGTGCGCGTGCAATTGTACTGGATCTTTATACAACCGCGTTCGCAACCGCTTTGCGAACGCGCATCCGCCTCCAGTGTGAATGAGCGGCTAGGGAGCCTATACAAGAACTCTAGTTGGGCCACCACTCCCGTGTTCCAATTACTTCTCACCGTGACTGGGTCTTGAGAGAAACAAACAAAAGGGCCACCCAAACACAGCTGTACGTCTCGTAAAACCATGAGCTGATGGCCAATATTACTCCGCGACAACTTTTCTTGGCAATGCAGTGGAAGGTACGTCCCGCGTCCCCTCTCCCATTTTGAGTGTACGCAGGCTCTCCTCCTCCCCCATTTCCGGGGAGAGGAGGAGAGCCTGCGTACACTCAAAATGGGAGAGGGGACGCGGGAAGTACCTTCCACTGCATTGCCAAGAAAAGTTGTCGCGGAGTATAGACCGTTTTACTGAAAGAGGGCGAGAGAGAAAAGGGGAAAGGGCTACCGGCGCTTTCCTCCTTTCTGGCTGTATAGAAAGAGTGAAAGTCCCGGATGAGAGGCTTCGCCGGTGTTGGATGTCTGCTGTGCCCGAACTTCGTTCGCGCTTTCTTTCCTGTTTTAAACTCGCAAACTTAATTAGAGCCAGAGGCTTCGATGGCAACAGTCCCCCGGTCATCGGGACACCATTGCTGGGTCATAGGGTGCAGGAATAAAAACAGAAAGCATAGAATACTGTCCGAGAACATATGTAGCTTGCAAGGAACCCGGCAAGGCGAGAGCGGCTGCAATGTCTTTGAGCTCCATCGCTTTCCACATGACCCCTGTCTCCGGCGGCAGTGGATTGCGTCCGTAAACCGAAAAGGCGTTCCCTCAACGCCATCCTCTCGACTTCGCTCGGAACATTTCGTGAATGGAGCGCGCACCGAACGCTGTACCGCCGATGAACATGGGGTACGCTCGCAATGTGAGTGCGAGTTTTCTCATGATAACTGCTGTTTCAGTTTGTAAAATTTCGTAACTGAATTTATCTTAATAGTGATAATTTGCAGTGCTGACTGACTCGATTTTATCATCTACAACACTTAGTTGAAGGCTCATTTCCGCCGCCGGGTGAGGCTGGAAATTGTTGAAAACGTAGTTCTATTGTTTGTTTGTTTGTTTTTTAATCGCGATCTCCTACGCGATACCAGAGAGCCGGCAAAAGCGCTCCTTGAAGTGCCGCTGGTGGGTTGTTTCCATTGACTAAGGCGCTTTGAGGCGCTTGATAGTTGCTGCAGGAACGTCTCGTGTGTTGCGATCTGCGTTTTCGAGCCCAGTGTGCACGTTTCTTTGTTTGAGTCATGGCATCCGCCAGTGTGGCCACGGGGGGAACAGCGGCAGCGAACGTGCCAGCGATAGAAATTGGAGGTGAGTATTAAAAATAATGCATCAAACAGTAAACTAATTCGTGGCTGCTTCGAGGCTTTCTGCGGTTCGATAAAAGTGCATCTAGAGCGTCTTCGTCGTTCATTCACAAGGAGATATAAGAACAGGGACACGAAGATAAAAACAGCACAGCAAGACGAGATGTAGCAGCTCCGGGCGTTTACAAAGTTAATTGAGGTCCCCGTTTCGCGTATCGCTTGTTGATTACAACTAAAAGCGGCTACGTTGAAATAGGCCCATTGCAAGCAAAAATGTATAAATGGTTCATCATTTCCAGTCATGCGGAAAGCAATGGAGCTTAAAAACATTCCAGCCGTACTTGCCTTGCCGGATTCCATGCAAGCTACATAGGTCCTCGGACAGTATTCGACGCTTTCTGTTGTTATTCGTGCACCCTATCACCCAGCAATGGTGTCCCGATGACCGGGGGACTGTCGCCATCGAAGACCATGGCTCTAATTAAGTTTGGGAGTTTGAAACGTAGAAGAAAGCGGGAACGAAGTTGGGGCACTGCAGACGCCCAACACCGGCCAAGCCTCTCATCCGGGACTTTCACTCTTTCTACACAATCAGAAAGGGGGAAAGCGCCGGTGGCCCTTTCCCCTTTTCTCTCTCGCTCTCAAAATGGCGCTACCCATGATAAAACGGTCTATAGTTACTTTTGTTCGGTCGCGGGAAATAAAACTTTAGGTCAGTAGTCCCGCGACTAGTCGCTTGGACAAAGTAACAAGTAAACTTGATTATTGGAAATCTACAGACGGCAGGAAGCCAGCCAGCCGCCTCATAATGTCGTCCTGTTTTTGCACTGCGGAGAGGCAATTTAACGAGAACAATAAAACTGTGTGTTCCGATATCAGAAATAGAAGAGAATACAAAAATACAGATGCCGATTGAAACAAGAAATGTATCGATTTTCAAATATATAGTTATCTGAAATACGATCACAAACGTTTGTATCGCGACACTGCCAAACCCTGTGCTAGCCTGGGGTCTTCAACGTACACCCCGCAGTAGTGATATACAACCGCACGCCGGCACGATGCTCACCCATCTCGAAACGGGCAAAGGTGGGGATTGAATTCAGCAGGACCCCTGGGTTCTGCAGCGCGAGCTTTCTCTCTACGTATTTTTAGCTTCGGTACGTTGTCACACCGGCGCACCGATCCTCTCCCTCCATTCTTGTTGAGAGCTGCAATTTAAATACATCTATTAAAAGCTGACAAAGAAGCAGTGTGGTTCTCCCCCCTTTCTTTCTCTATCAAAAACTCCTTTTGAGCCAGATCAACAGCAAGAATAAAATGTTTTCGCAATTCGCCTCAGTGTGGTTATTAGTTGTCACGATTCCGACTAGGATATTTTTGGCTTACTGCCACAAGAACATTAATGTTTTTAGACTCCCCGGGTAAGCTGCATTTCAAGATGAAAGTGCGCAGGTCTGTGCGTACCAGGGATGCCGCGAACTTTTTTCGAACCGAAAGTTCGATGATCGATTCAAGCGATTCGAAGGTTCGAATGATTTCGAATTTTCGAACTTTCCATATCGAGAAATTCGACGGAAGTCGAATTTTCGACCTTGTTGAACTAAGAAGTTCGACGCTTTTCGAAATTTCGAACTTATTACGCTGCAAAATTCGAGGCTTGTCGAACTTTCGAACTTGATAGACTAAAATATCGATGATTTTTTAACTTTCGAATTTCTTGCACTAAAAGTTGGAAGCTTTTCGAACTTTCAACCTTCCTACACTAAGAAATTCGATAATTTTCGAACTTTCGACCTTATTAATCTAAGGAATTCGAAAATTGTCGAACTTCCGATTCCTGAAAAGTCAAAAGTTCGACGAACTTCGAACTTTTAGGGTAAAAGGAACTTTTAGGGTCCGTCGAACTTCGAAAGACGGCGGTTTCATTTGGATTCAAGCTGCGAGGTACATTCGTAAGTCTTTTTTCTCGTATTTTTGCATGTGGCGCCGCATTACTTGCGAAAGACAATGCCGTTTATTTCAATCGTCTGGCATGCTTGGTTTTAAAGAAATAGATTCCCCAAGGGTCGAGGAAGGACGACGGGTTTTTGGCAATTGTCGTTTGTGCAATATTTGAAGCGCGCTATAGCCGACGATATTTATGGTAGAGATGTTACTCTTTTTAAGAATAATCTATGTACAGCCTAGGTAAGTGTAGTCTTAAGATATGATTATTATTCTTCGAGACGAGTTTCCAAGAAATATCCAAACATGTATCTATGGGCAATTATGCCCTAAACTGGGTAATTTTTTTCCCCGAAATTGTTTGAGGTATCGCATTTAAACTAACACCACAGACAGTGCATATCATTAACAACTGCAGAATACAAATTAATTTATATATTGTCATTTTCATGTTGAGGAATAAATTAACCCAGATAAAAAAGGTTTCTAATATTGTTCAAACTCGGCACGTCATGAAAAACAAATATATATATATATATATATATATATATATATATATATGTATATATATATATATATATATATATATATATATATATATATATATATATATATATATATATATATATATATATATATATATATATATATATATATATATATATATATATATATATATATATATATATATATATATATATATATATATATATATATATATATATATATATATATATATATATATATTGTGACGAAGAGAAGCGGCACGAGTCTTCGGGGACGCGCCATCCTGGGAGAAGAGGAAGAGGAAGGACAGACTGAACGAGCGGCAATATATACCGGAAGGTCATCTTGATTTCTATCTCCAATACCCGTGTAAATAATAAACCCCCATCACTGAATCCGACTTCTGCTACAATTGGGGGAGGTGCGAACTTCCCCAACTCGGACCTCACTCGCAAGTATAATTCCCAACCCTGGAACTCCGCAATCGGCGACTACCATCAGCAATGCCAGGCGAAGGAACCTCGGATGCTTCAAGATCGGCTACCTCCAACCAAGGACCCACGACTATTCTGTGTGCCGGAGCACTTCGTCAACGTGACCCGAAGCTCTTCAGCGGGATCGGCGACGATGACATTGATGACTGGTTGGAGTCCGTAGAAAGAGTAAGCCTTCATAACAAATGGGATGATGTGCTGAAACTCAATAACGTTATTTTTTATTTGACTGACGTCGCTAAATTATGGTACACCAATCACGAGTCAGAGCTGGCGACCTGGACTCTGTTCAAATCGAAAATTCAGGAAGTATTTGGGAAGCCAGCCCAGCGAAAGCTGATAGCAGGAGGAGGAGGAGGAAAACGTTTATTGGAACATGAGGGATGATGCTGATGATGACGGAAGTGGAGCCTTAGCGGGGAGGGTTCCTCATTCCAGGATCCCTAGAAGCTGGCCAGCAAGTTTGGCCCTTTCGAGCAGCCTAAGCTGCTCTCCGGGGTCCCTGCTCCGCAGCAGCCTCTCCCAGCCGGCTTGGCCTTTTTCTTCGTCTTGGAGCTTGGGAAGCTCGTCGTTATTCGTACATTCCCACGTGGAGTGGTAGAGTGTCGCTCGGGAGCCGCACCAGGGGCAGCTGTCGTCTTCGTACCTGTCCGGATCCACGTGTCTGGCCAGCACCTTGTTCGGGAAGTTGCCCGCCTGGAGTCTCCTCCATAGGGCGGCATCTATTCTGTCGAACCTGTCCGCGGGCTCCGGAAACTGGAATCGGCAGGCCTTGTAGTGGTCAAGTAGCTCCGAGTAGCTCGGGTTCACGATAACGGTTTTCCCCGGCTGCGTCAGACCGGCCCGGAAGGTATGAGCACGGGCTCGGTCGTCTGCTGCCTGGTTACCCGTGACGCCCGCGTGAGCGGGAATCCACGCGATTTCGTGCGTTACTCCAGCACTTTTCGGGGTGACCTTATTTATAAGTTTGGCGGTTCTCGCTCCAATCCTGCCTTTTAGAAAATTTCGACAGGCCTGTTGAGAGTCCGACAGGATGAGCATGCTACTGCCCTTCCTATAGCCGTCCATCATGGCGAGCGCTATGGCTCTCTCTTCGGCCTCTTCCGTCGTTGCCCTGGGCATCGAGCAGCTATTTTTCTCCATCTTGTTTTTGTCCAGGTATACGGCTACCTTTGCATCCCGGTCCGGGTAGTCAGCAGCGTCGACGTACGCCACCTCTCCCTTTTTGGCTATCCTTTCGTAGTACCTGGCTCTGGCTAGTCTTCGTTGTTCATGCGTATCCGGTCTCATGTGTTTTGGGGTTCACGGGTTCAACAAAATGACGAAAGCTTCGTCAGCTACATTGAAGATGTGCTAAAATTGTGCAAGCGCATTGACACACAGATGCCGGAAGACGAAAAACTGAAAAACATCATGAAGGGAATTGCTGAAGACGCATTTCAAATTCTTGTCGTCAGAGCCCCCGCGACCGTCATTGAAGCCATCGATATTTGTCAAAACTTTCTTGAGCTGCGCACCCAGCGTTTGCCACTCAGCCGCAAGCCGCAGCCTCCCATGGAGCTAGCTAGCTTGAATAACGCTGCGGACTGTCCTCCCGATAAATGGGGTGACCTTCGATATCTCATTCAGGAAATCGTCCGCGACGAGGTGGCTCGCCAACTAGGAAAGCCTGCCACTTCCCCAGAGTCCTACGTCTCACCTTCCATCAGAGCGCTTATTCAAGAGCAAGTCACAGCCGCTATCCCTAACCCTGTGATACCGCCCACCATGCCAATGCCGCTCGCGCCTACTTACGCCGAAATGGTAGCGCGTCCGCCCCCCATGCCTGTCGTCCAACCCCAGCAACCATTTCCTCCCCCTCGTTGGCAAGGACGTAGAGCCGACATATGGAGGACCCCGGAGAATCGACCAATTTGCTTTTCATGTGGTCTGGTTGGACATGTCGCTCGGTTTTGTCGACGTCGGTACCCTGAAAGTTATGGTACCCCACCACAAGCTCACTATCGACCAGGCTTCGCTGGTAGTCGTCGAAGTGATGCTTTCCAAGATTACTCCGACTACCAACGGCAGCAACGACCAAGCAGATCTCCGTCTCCCAGACGACGCTCGCTGTCTCCTCTCCGCCCACGTACGACATCTCCCGCTCCAGAGGGAAACTGCTAGGAGCAGTTCCAGAGGCGAGAACTGCGAATCCTTCTACATCCTTAAGTCCTCGCCCTATTGCACGAAATATGATTGATATTGTAATTAATGGTTTGCATTAGTTGACACCGGCGCTGCAGTATCAGTCATTCGGGCTGACCTTTGTAATCGATTGAGGAAAGTCACGACCCCTTTTGTTGGACGTCCATTTAGAGCTGTTGGTGAGCAAAACATTGTCCCTACCGGGGTCTGCACAGCACGCATTGTGATTCAAGATATATGTTACTGCGTCGAATTTCTGGTGCTTTCTTCCTGCTCTCATGACGTGATTCTTGGCTGGGACTTTTTGGAAGCAACGAATGCCCTTATTGACTGTGAACGTGCAGAGGTGGACTTTGCTGAAATTCGGCTTCCTGAAGAAAATGGCGCTGTCGACACGATCAAATTATTTCTAACTGATGACACAAGAATTCCTGCGTTTGCTTCTGTGTTTCTGCCGATTCAGTCATCTAAACTCGAAGTGCTAGTCCTAATGGCATCTCCATCTGCAGTTTTTTTTCGCAAGACAGGTATCCTTGTTCCTTTTTCCTTGCTCAACCTTGACAACGGCTACGGATTTATTATGGCTCTCAATATGTCTTCTCTCCCAATAATGCTCCCTGCCGGTGAAGTTGTAGCCTACGCCGAACCATCTCAAACCATCAAGGTTTTCGCATTCGATACTCCCTCTCCTGCATATTGTTGTACATTAGTTCAGCAGCGACATGACGAAGACGAGTTCTTGTTATCCACTGTAGATGGCCACCTCGATTCGTCTCAAAAAGACTCAATTCTGTCTGTTCTGCATAGATTTAACACCATATTTGATCGCCCACAGTCTACTTTGGGCCGTTCCACGTCTGTAGTCCACCACATTGATACAGGCAACGAGAAACCCTTACGTCAACGTCCATACCGTGTCTCAGCGTCTGAACGAAGCATAATAGATGACGAGGTGAACAACATGCTAGACAAAGGTGTCATCACGCCATCTACGAGTCCGTGGGCTTCCCCAGTGGTCCTCGTCAAGAAGAAAGATGGTACTATAAGGTTTTGCGTTGACTACCGGCGGCTAAACAAGATCACGCGCAAAGACGTATATCCAATGCCCAGAATCGATGATGCCCTTGACAGCTTGCAGGGAGCCGAGTATTTTTCTTCTCTAGACCTCCGTTCAGGATACTGGCAAATCCCCATGGCCTCCAACGACCGAGACAAAACAGCCTTCATTACATCGGAAGGACTGTACGAGTTCAACGTCATGCCTTTCGGCCTCTGCAACGCACCCGCGACGTATGAACGTATGATGGATGCCGTGTTGCGAGGCCTGAAATGGAAAATATGTCTGTGTTATTTAGATGACGTAGTTATATTTTCGAAGACATTTGAGGAGCCCCTCCATCGATTAACAACCGTATTGTCCTGTATCAGCCGCGCCGGCCTCCAGCTAAATGTCAAGAAGTGTCGATTTGCGGCGAAGCAAATGAAAGTTCTGGGTCACCTCGTGTCCAAAGATGGCATTCAGCCGGATCCTGAGAAAATTCAGGCCGTTTCCAACATTCCAAAGCCAACCACGGAGAAAGAACTGCGAAGCTTTCTTGGACACTGCTCCTATTTTCGACGCTTTGTGCGTGGCTTCGCATCCATAGCAGCACTCCTGCATGACCTTTTGAAGAAATCGTCCCACCTGCCTTCTTGGACATCTGAATGTGAAGCTGCCTTCAATCAGCTCAAGGAAATTCTAACATCCGCCCCAATACTCCGACACTTCGACCCCACTGCTCCAACAGAACTCCGAACTGATGCCAGCGGCTTTGGAGTCGGAGCAGTTCTCGCTCAGACAAAAGCAGGTTTTGATAACTACGTTGTCGCCTATGCTAGTAGGGCTCTCTCAAAACCCGAAAAAAATTACACCGTAACCGAAAAAGAATGCTTGGCAGTCGTGTGGGCAGTCACGAAGTTTCGCCCATACCTTTATGGTCGACGTTTCAATGTTGTGACCGATCATCATGCCCTTTGCTGGCTATCGTCTTTAAAAGATCTCACTGGACGCCTTGGTCGATGGATGCTGCGCCTACAAGAATACGACTTCGCGGTTCTGTATAAATCTGGCCGCAAACATGGCGACGCCGACGGCCTCTCGAGATGTCTCCTGCGCTCTGACGCACCCGATCCATCTGACACCGACGAAGACCCTCTCACCTTGTCGGCACTAAATATTGTCGACATGCAACTCGAACAAGCAAGAGATCCGTGGCTATCGAAAGTTCTGACAGTTGTGAGAGACCCTGACTCGTCCCAAAACCGGTCACTACGAAGGCAGTCCCAACATTTCCGCATTCGGAATGGGCTCCTTTACCGGCGCAACTATTCACCTGAAGGTCTCCATTGGCTTCTCGTTATCCCTCGTCACTTACGACGTGAGGTTTTAGAACATATCCACAGCGATCCAACATGTGCTCATGGAGGACTTCTCAAGACCTACACTCGGGCTCGTCTGCGGTACTACTGGCCAGGGCTTTATGGCAGCGTTCAAAAGTTTGTAAGATCATGTCCCGAATGCCAACGTCGCAAGTCGCCTTCCCATTCATCTCAAGGTCTGCTCCAGCCCATACCGTGCCCAGAACGACCATTCCAGCGCGTCGGGATAGATCTTTTTGGTCCCCTTCCGAATTCCTCCTCTGGAAACCGATGGACCATCGTCGCCATTGATCACCTCACCCGTTATGTCGAAACCGCTGCTCTACCTTCGGCGACAGCAGAAAATGTCGCCAATTTTTTCTTAAACCAGATTGTTCTCCGTCATGGAGCTCCGAAAGAGCTCCTTAGCGACCGCGGAACTGTGTTCCTTTCAAAAATTCTAGAAGAGGTTTTACGAGCTTGCAGCGTTATTCATCGGACAACGTCACCATATCATCCGCAGACCAACGGCATGACTGAACGTTTCAACCGAACACTCGCTGATATGCTTGCCATGTATATTTCCCCTGATCACCGAAATTGGGACAAGGTTCTTCCATTCATAACCTTTGCTTATAATACCGCCGTTCAAAACACTACCCAATTTTCCCCTTTTTTTCTTCTTTATGGGAGGGAGGTCTCTTCAATACTCGACAGCCTGTTGCCCTACTCGCCGGAGGAGTCTGAATGCACACCACTCACCGAAATCCGAGAACATGCTGAGCAATGCCGTCAGATAGCAAGGACACGCACTGCCAACCTTCAAGGACAACAAAAACGCCGCCACGATGCCGCGTCCAACCCTCTTTCATTCAAACCGGGTGATCTTGTCCTGTTGTGGACACCGCAACGCCATCCCGGTCTCTGTGAGAAATTGCTTTCAAACTACCACGGCCCCTACCGTGTGCTTCGCCAGACTTCAGAAGTCAACTATGAAATCGAGCCCCTTTCGCCACCTACTGATCGCCGCCGACGTGGTCGTGAAATAGCTCATGTGAACCGCCTTAAAGTCTACAGCCCGCCAATCTCCCAGCCCTAACATCACCCTCGCCAGGATGGCTACCTCTGCGAAGGGGATATATTGTGACGAAGAGAAGCGGCACGAGTCTTCGGGGACGCGCCATCCTGGGAGAAGAGGAAGAGGAAGGACAGACTGAACGAGCGGCAATATATACCGGAAGGTCATCTTGATTTCTATCTCCAATACCCGTGTAAATAATAAACCCCCATCACTGAATCCGACTTCTGCTACAATATATATATATATATATATATATATATATATATATATATGTATATATATATATATATATATATATATATATATATATATATATATATATATATATATTGTGAGGGCGCTTCTGCGTAGCACTGCCCACGGACATCGTCGTCGTCACTTTTGGCTGTGGGGGGCGTGATCGGCATCGGCAGCTGATGAGTGGCACCTTTTTTGAAACGTTCTATAGCTATCAGACTCTGATAAAAAACCGTCATCAGGATAGCTAGGTTCGACATTGTACATGTACCTTTTTTTAGTACACGGAAGTGACGTCATCACGTCTGATTGGTTGGAAACAAACGTGACGTAATTTCCCTAGAAAAATGTGGGCGGAGTCGGCAAAACTGGGCGGAGTCGGCTACCGGACGTGACAACAAAATGACGTTTCGTTTTGTACCGAGTACGTTTCAAAAGGTACTTGCTCGGAACTAGGTGTCATTGGCAGCATGTTTTCGGCGGCGAGGCGTCGTCGTCTCGTCACTTCGACTTTTTCTTTAATGGAGCTTTTTTTTTTCGCCCGAAAGGCTGTATCGGGAACACCGCGATGCATTCGAGCTCCCGGAGGAGATCTTTCGGAAGCAATACCGCCTGCCCAAGATCGTGGTGCGGTGGTTGTGCGACGAACTTCGCGAGGAACCGGAGGTGAGGAGAGTGCGTACCTCGTGGACGGTCATGAGTGTGGAGCTTCAAGTGTTGTGTGCACTGCGCTTCTACGGCACGGGGAGCTTCCAAGGCATGGTGGCGAGCGACGAACACGTAGCGCGGGACCAAAAGACAGTCAGCGTTGCGGTCCGCGCCGTGTCCGTCGCTATCGTGCGTCGTCTCGGGGTCCAGCGTGGCTGGATCCACTTCCCCGAGACGCCGAGCGAGAGGTTCGACGCGGAGAAGGGCTTCAGGCTGCTCGGCAGGATACCCGGCGTCATCGTTTGCGTGGACGGGACCATGGTCTCCATCGTCGGCCCGTCCAAGAACGACCCCACCGTCACGTAGAAGTACTTGCGGCGTACTGGTGCCGCAAGTACTTCTACGCCCTCAACGTGATGGTGGTAAGTACACTCATGTTACGTTGTCAAAACGCGCCCCAAATCTGTAGAAAAAAAAAACGTATTGCCGATACGGTTTAAGTATGCCGTTTTATGACTGCGGGCTGTGGGGTCTCACGACTGCGCGAGCGTGTGCTCTACGTAGCATGTGAGCCGTTAGACTCTTCTCCCAAAAATAATACTTATTTTTGGTTTCAAAACGTGCAAGCTTCCGTAAAAAAAAAAAAACAACATTATTTTTGTTTCAAGGTAGTTAGTTGTACCTTGCATCCA